TAACTGTGTGGATTTGTAGCAACAGAGATTTATGTTTTTCAACCTTAGCTGGCCTTAAGTGCTGCTTGGCAGATCTATGTTTAATTTACTTCTGTTTGCCTTTTGCATATATTATATGCAGTATCTTTGTCATTTTCAGAAGTTTTTCCTGTCTCCTAATTCAGAGAGGGAGAAGAAGGGAGGGGATGGGAAGAGGAATAAGAGAAAGGATACAAGAAAGGAGAGGGAGAGGGAGGAGAGAGAAAGATAATTTAGTTATATTTCATCTCTTCCTTTTAACGTAGCAAACTGATGGTATGTGTGCTGTTGAACCTATCTTTTACAAGTCTTTCTCAGTTAGCATACATTTTCCTTCTTGTATCTATAATTCCTTCCATCTTACTGATTATTGACTTCTGCTTGGCCATTAAAAACTTTAAAAAATCTCCTTTATCCTAAAAATGACCTGTTATCAGTTTTCTCTTAACTCTGATTCTGCTCATAGTCATAACTCAGTCTCATTCCTTATTGTCAAACTTCTCAAGAGGTTATATAATTTGCTTTTATGTCTTTTCATTGAGTCTTCATCTATATTCTCATGGACAATGCACTACTAAAATTAAGTATACTGTAAAAATTGAACACTTGATTACCTCTTTAAATGTTTTTTAAAAGTGAAGCAAAGATGTACATGTAGTTTAAGCAGTGAAATAGTATGCTGTAAAAGTAGTAGGAAACAGCAGTATTCTTCTCCATGTCTTCCAAGACCTGAATTCCACAAGGCAGAGGCAACCATTTGTAGCTTTTTCCTTATTTCTTCTGTTATTTACTTATATCTAAATCAGCTTGCCTATACTGATCTTCTATTTTGTTACTGACTTCCTACTATAGATGGGAATTTGGTTTTCTTTACACTCTGGGATGGGGGTGGGGATGTCTACAATATGGTAATACATAACTTTTAGTTAAAATAGTATTTGATACTTACCATAGTCTATTCAAACTATGTAACTGTTATTCATAGCTGAGTGTTTGTACAACTATTTTTGCTACCTTACTTTTTTTCATACTTAATAATTGTCTCACTTTTTAATGCTTATTTTCTTTGTTCCTTTTTCTAAATCACTTACTGACTTTGTGACAGATTATAGGACTTCTCTTAATAGTGTCAAAGACATCTAGTAATTTATCAGTTATATTTTTTTCATCTTTGAGTTACCTTATTTGGATTAGTTTTTTTTGGATTAGAATTTCCCTTTGCCTCTGTTTTGTTGAATCTCTGTTGTCTTTTCTGATTTATTCTGTATTTTACTGATTGTGGCTGGGAGGAAATTCATTTTAGATTTATGCATAGCTGAAGATGTTTTTGTTTTATCTTTACACTCAATTAAGAGTTTGATTAATGTAAAATTCTATGTGAGAAATTATATTCCTTCCAAATTGTAAGGCATTATTTTATTGTCTTCTAGTTGCAAGCATTGCTATTAAGACACCTAGGGTTGTTTTGATTCCTGCTTTCTTATCTAATGAAATTTCATGATAATGTGGTTTAATGTGGATCTTTTAGAAATCATTTTGAGGCCAGGCTCAGTGGCTCAGCCTGTAATCCCAGCACTTTGGGAGGCCGCGGTGAGTGGATTGCCTGAGCCCGCAGGTTCCAGACCCACCTGGGCAACTTGGCGAGACCTCATCTCTACAATAAATCAAAAATAAGCCAAGCGTGGTAGCACGCACCTGTAGTTCCAGCTACTTGGTAGGCTGAGGTGGAAGGATTGCCGGAGCCCGGCAGGTCGAGGCTGCAGTGGCCAGGAGCGACCACTGCACTCCAGTCTGGGAGACAGAGTGAGACTCCAACTCAAAAAACAAAAAAAAATCATTTTGCTGAGTACTCAGTAGGCTCTTTCATTTTGGGAATTCATGTCCTTGCAGAAATTTTCTATTGTAATTTTCTGTTCTCTACTGAATTTTTTTCTGTTTGAATTTTTGGAAGGGTTTCTCAACTTTTACCTGTAATTCTTTTACTAAAATTTGGAATTGTAATTTTTTAGAGCTCCTTCAGTTCTCTATAATGTTCCTTTTCTTATGACATCCTATTTTTGTTTTATTATTGCATTAAATGTGTTTGTGTGTGTTCTAATTTCTATGTCAATAAATTTGACTACTCCAGATACCTCATATAAGCAAAACCATTTAGTATTTGTCCTGTTATTTCTGTCTTAGTTCACTCAGCATGTCTTAGTGTTCATTCATGTTGTACCATGTATCAGAATTTCATTCCTTTTTACTCCCTAATAATATTATATTGTATGAATATGCCATGTTTTATTTATTCATTTATACATTGGTGGACACTTGGATTGCATCCACATTGTAAATAATACTGCTGTTAGCATGAATGTCCAAATATATCTTTGAGATCCTGCTTTTAATTGTTATAGATCCATGTCCAGAGGCAGGATTGCTGGATCATATGATAATCCTATGTTTAAAGTTTTGAATAACTGCTTTACATTTTTCCACAGTGACTGTGCCATGTTTCATTTCTACCAGAGGTGCATAAGGGTTCTAGTTTCTTCACATCCTTCTCAATATTGGCTATTTTCTATTTTCTGATAATATCCCTCCTTATGGATGTGAAGTGGTATCTCATTATTATTTTAATTTTCGTTTTTCTAGTAATGTGGAATATCTTTTCCTGTGCTTAATGACTATTTGTATATGTTCTTGGAATAAATGTTTATTAAAAGTTTTCAACTGGATTGTTTAGGTTTTGTTGTTGAGTTTTGGGAGTTCTTTCTTTACTCTGGATGTGATTATATACTCCTCATCAGATAAGTGATTTGCAAATGTTTTCTATTTCATAGGTTGCCTTTTAATTTTGTTGATAGGGCCTTTTGATGCACAAAAGTATTTGATTTTGATGAGGTCCAGTTATCTATTTTTTTTTCTCTTGTTGCCTGTATTTTTGGTGTCATATCCAAGAAATCATTGTCAAATTCAATGTCATGAAGTTTTTCTCCTGTGTTTTCTTATAAGAGTTTTATAGTTTCAGATCTTAAGTTTAGTACTTCGATTTATTTTGATTTCTGTATATGGTAGAAGGTAAGAGTCTAACTTTATTTTTTTACATATGGATCTAAGAATTATACATTTGTTGCCTGCTGTGCAGAGCAAGTCAACATGCCAAGACACTGGGCTGCAGCCAGAAAAGAGGTTTAATTGTAGGGATACTGAACTAGGAGATGGGAGGAAACCTCAAATTCCTCTTCCTGAGGAGTTTGAGGGCAGGGTTTTTAGAGGTCTTGGAATGGGATGACGTTTGGAGATCATTGATTGGTCAAAGAGTGCAAGGTGGAGTCATGGGGCAGGGAGATGTAGAAATTGTGTTCTCATACCGATTTTGTTTCTCTGTGGGTGCCTTTAGACTAGTTGAGGTCAGCTGTTCTGCTGAAATTCAGGATCTGCTCATGCAGTTCTTAAGCAAAAGCGTTATGATTCTATCATCGGAGAGCCTATCTATCTGAAACAAAAGCCTAACAATTCTTATGTCAGAAATCCTGTCTATAGGAACAACAAGGATGCAAATGTTAGGAATCCAGTGTTTGACTTTTGGTTACAAGAAAGCAGGTCAAAGAGCAGCTTAATTATTACCATATTTCTATACAGAATTCTTGTTAATCCCTTGTGGTTGACTTCGTGGCTTAATTTTCTCAGCACCATTTGTTGAAAAGATTGTTCTTTTCTCACTGAATGGTCTTTGTTGAAAATTATCTGACCATATATGCAAGAATTTGTTTTGGGCTCTCTATTCTGTTTTTTTGGCTTATATGTCTATCCTTAGAGTAGTACCAAATTGTTTTTGATTACTGTGTTTAGTAAGTTTTATGTGAGTCTTCCAACTTCATTCTTTTTTTTTGAGTTGGAGTCTCACTCTGTTGCCCAGGCTGGAGTGCAGTGGCACATTCACAGCCCCCCCCAGGATCGACCTACTGGGCTCAGGTGATCTTTCTGACTCAGCCTTCCAAGTAGCTAGAACTACACGCGTGCATTACCATGCCCAGCTATTTAAGAAACATTTTTATTTATTTGTCGCAGAGACGAAGTTTTGCCAAGTTGCCCAGGCTGGTCTTGAACCCCTGGGTTTAGGTAATCCTCTTGCTTCAGCCTCCCAAAGAGCTGGGATTACAGGCTTGAGCCACCATGCCCAGCCCCAACTTTACTCTTTAAAAATATTCTTTTTTGTCTATTGGGAGTCCCTTAAGGTTCTACATGAATTTTAGGATGGATTTTTCTAGTTCTGCAAAAAATGTCATTGGGATATTGGGGATTGCACTTAGTCTGTAGATCACTTTGGGTAGTATTGACATCTTAATAATAAATCTTTCAAACTATGAACACAGAATGTCCTTCCATTTTTTTGTGTCTTGTTTAATTTCTTTCAGCAATGTTTTGTTGTTTGCAGTGTACAAGTATTTCACATCCTTGTTCAAGCTTTTTCCCAAAGCTTTTTGTTCTTTTTAATGCTATCATAAATAAAATTGTTTTCTTAATTTCCTCTTCTGAGTCTTCATTGTTAGTATATAGAAAGCAATAACTAGTTTGGAGTATTATTTAATATATGACATTATTAAATCACTTCATCTCTGGTCTCTGTTTCAGTAGTAGGTTATTTGAACTGAATTCATATAGAAACTGAAATTCAGAATAAATGATAATTTGTGTTCATTAAATTAAGGTTTTTTTACTCACCTAAATAAGCTAATTTGAAACTACAGACCGGGAAGAATACTAGTATATTAAAATAACTTTTTGAACCAGTTCGGTTTGAGCTCTTTGAACTCTTAAAATATTGTGAAAGTGATATTTCTCGGGTATAATTTAGAGCTTCCAGCTCTTATTGATGCTTCTCTAAAAGTTGCTGGATATATAATAATAATAGATGCTTTTCATATTTTGGGAGTGGGTTATACAGCTGGGTATAGTTTATAAATTACATCTTTTTGCTTTTTTTAAATTCACAGGCCACAGAAACACTATTCAGAATGGGTGTAGCAAGAGGAGCTATCACAACGTTAAGAAATGGAGAAGTAAGATGATAATTTTGATATAGTTATTAGTTGGTAATTTTAAAAATATAAAATGGGATGAATTCTGTGGTGTTTTTTGTAACAAATAGAGAAATATCTGATGTATATAATATTGAATGTACATATCTATTTTAGTTCACAGTTATATTGGAACCAAGACTTAGGTTGAAAATAAATTGCTGAGTATTAAAAAATTTTTTTTTGAGTCAGAGCCTCACTTTATCGCCCAGGTTGGAGTACAGTGGCTTGATCATGGCTCACTGCAGCCTCGACATCCTGTGCCTAGCTGATCCTTCTGTATCAGCCTCCCATATAGTTGGGCCTACAGGCATGTGGCACCATGCCCGGCTAATTTTTTGAATTTTTTGTAAAGACAGGGTCTCACCATGTTGCTCAGGATAATTGCTGAGGTCCTTTAATCTTTAGTTTCCAATTTTTTTAACCTGAAGAGAAAATGACATTTTATTATTTATAACTTCTACAAATATATAGTTTTAGTGAAAATAATCCCTTATTCCTTTCTTCCTATTTATATTATACAGAGCTGATACTTATTTCTTAGGATAAAATAATTTGAAAGGTTGACATTTACCATGGGCAGAGGAAGAGAATTTTATCTGCTCCTTCTTATTAGTGAAGCTCAATTAAGATACAGATGGCAGGTTTTGACTTTTCTAAATGTTTTTGTCAGTTTTTAAAAATATTTTTTCTATCATTTGAGATAAATTTTCATTGCCAAATTATTACCAGCCTTATCACCACTCTGTCTGCTTTTTCTCTGTTTATTCCATCACTAAGACATATTTAATTTGAAGTTGAATGTAATGTTAGATTGCCACGTTCATTTTTCTTTTCCACTAGCAAATACTTAAGGATAAAATACAGAACTATCTATTCCTGAATTATGTTCTGGTGTTTAATGTAATATTTATAATTCAGTAACAAATACTTAATAGTGAAGTTGAGTTGTATTACTATATGATTATAAATTTAATTGGCTTATGTATTTTTTTATTACGTAAAAATGTGCCTTCATTTCAAAAGTATATATACTCAAATCATTGATTATATATTTACAAATCACATTAGTAAAATTTCTATCATATGTTTTGTCTGTGTAAAAAGACTTAATTGATCCCTTTGTATTCTCAACACGCTGAAATATGTGGTCTCATTTTGAAAAAAGAATATTTTTACAGTAATAAGATTGGACATAGTAATCTGTCTATAATATCTGAAAGTGAATTTCAGATTTTAATAATTACTCTATTTTTATATTTATCACATTGGAAGATTTATAATAGGCTAAGAGAGGAGAGTGGTAAGAAGTTTGTCCTTTAAAAAATTGTGCCAGCCAGGCTCGGTGGCTCAACCTGTAATCCCATGCCTTTGGGAGGCTGAGGTGAGTGAGTTGCCTGAGCCCACGGGTTTCAGACCCGCCTGGGCAGGCGAGACCTCATCTCTACAATAAATAAAAAAAAAATCAGCCGGGCATGGTAGCGCATGCCTCTAATTCTGGCTACTTGGAAGGCTGAGGCGGAAAGATTGCCGGAGCCCAGCAGGTTGAGGCTGCGGTGGTCGGGAGTGGCCACTGCACTCCAGTCTGGGCGACAGAGTGAGACTCCAACTCAAAAAAAAAAAAAAAATAATAATAATAATTGTGCCAGGCCAGTACTGCAAAAATATTTGTTAAGCAGGAATTCATAGGTAACCTCATGACAATAATATCAGGTAGGAGAAATAAAGATTGCTATATCCACACTATAAAAATGTCAGTCTTTGAGTAAATTTGTTTTCTAGATGCAATGACAATGAACTTTGCATGTGTTTTTTTTTCCTCTGTTCTGGAGTAAGCTATATTTTGTCTACTTATTAGACATTTCTTTTGCTTTTTTTTTTTTTTTTTTTT